TTGCTGTTAGCATTGGAGTACATGATGATTTCTGAGGAAGTTCCAAGCCAGATCAACCAAGCGCTTCAACTTAAATTTCATAAATAATGTATTGTTATTAAACTAATAACATTATTTACGTATATATAATTTATATCTAAAATCAGTTGAAACGATTTGACGAGTGTGCGACTACTATCCGGTTTAAAGCAACATCCGCGACGGTCATACATTTCATGATCATGGACCATTTGCAGAAAAGCCCAGTCTTGTTGCATTTGACCCCCTTCCATTTCGATTACGAGTCTTATTGGATTCGTTGCTTGGATCCTGAGACGAATGCAGTTTAGTTAGATTATACGAAAGCAAATTTATTCAGAGAGAGAGAGAGAGAGAGCATAGGAAAATGCAGTAGCACACAAGTGTGGGTACTACAGCGGTAACAGTAAAGCGGTTAATGGTAACTGACTTAAAGTTATAGTAATTTTGGATTTTCATCGGATCTGAAGTCAGTCGCAGGCATCTGTATGAACTAATATTTTAATCAATAAACAATAGAAACAGAATATGAAGTTCGTTTAGTATTTCGTTGAAAAATACTGCTGCCGTTTTCGCTGGGAGACAGCAGATTGTAGATTATTGTAATTGCATCTGTTCACGCAACGTATCGTGATCGTATTAGCTTGTGATTTCATTAATAGAAGATACGCAAGACAGGAATTAAATTATCGTATTATAGATTTAAATAAAATTCATGACATTCTTGAATGACAAGGCGATGACAGTGCAGCTGATCTACCGTAGGTGTATGTATGATTTTATATTTCCCATTCTTTCGCAAGCTCGCACGTATTCATTTATTGTGATACATGCAGTACATCAAAAGGGTCGATTTAGCAAGAGGAATATTTCTATTTCAGAAGAAATTTATTGTACTGAGTGAAGCGATCAAACTCATGGTATTCAAAGTTAGTCGAACTAACGACAAAGTCATGGACGTAAGCGGTCACTGTAAAGCGATATCCTAAGTGCATTACGTGCGGCCACTCCTCAGGAGTTACGCTAAAGCTGAAAAGTCGAATTTCTGGAAGGGCTCAGGTCTTCAGCTTCAAAACACATCGGAACGATGAAGTTTTATTCTGAATGTAGAGGGGTGACTTTTACGGGCGTATCTGAAAATATTTGAAGGGTTATAAGAGGATCGAAGGACTACAAGGGCAGGGTATATGAACTTAGGATGGAGAAAATATCTTGCAGCTGGTAGCTGCATATGCTATGACCCTGACAAGTACGTTTTTCCAGTGAAAAAGTAGTCACCTCCTTACCTAAAAGAGCGGCAGATGACGGTAAGGATCGATTATTCCCTGTTCTGAACGAATGAGTTGAAGAAAATCAGAGATTGGCAAATTATACCGAAGAATTTGTTAGTGGCCATCACCAGTTAATGGTCACCAGTACTGCAACTGTCCGTTCAGGTGGTGAATACAACGGCAATCCCAAACGTAAAGTGGTAGCAGCTCGAATTCAATTTGAATGAAACGTTCAGGAGATAAGTTACGAGAAATATCACTAAGCAAGACTGGAATCGAATAGCCAGCGTAATCGTGGGAAATAGCGAAGGACTAGTTTGTGAAACAGAAGGCACAACATCCAGAAAAAACGTGCTGATGGAATGCGGAAGTACAGGCTACTCTGCTGCAGAAGAAAGAACTGTTCTAGAAATAGTAGCTTTATAACAGCGCGTAAGATAAATTAATTTATTCCATGGTTAAGACAGCAACAGCGAAAGTCGTTTCCGAAACTTGGTCGAAATGACGCGATAGCGTATATGAAAAACGAATGAAAGAAAGAAAGAAGAGCAAGAGATTTAGGTATAGCAAAGCATGTAAACGACGATCATGGAGTCATGTTGATGGACGAGAAAAAATATTTGACACCGATGGCCATTGCAGTTCCGAACGATATTGCAAACAAACAGCATTGCAGCATGCAGGCCTCAAAAGACATACCACGAACAAGACATTAATTCAGAAGATCTCAGCACACGAAGTTGAGACAGCCTGGGACCCACTGAAAAATAGAAGGATCTCAGAGAAAGTTTGCATCAAAATGTGAAAGAAACGAAGGTGTATTTTGGCTGTATGCACTACTGTGAACAAAATCGGAATGTGAGAAAAATTGCGTAAGTTATTATGGACAAGTTTTTTAATTTTTTTTATGCCAGTGTACAAAATGAAAGGGGGTTTGCTCGCTTTTAAGAGCCATTGGGGAATTAAACTGTTCAGCCATGCCATTAAGCTATACGAAAGGATGCTGGATGAAAGGTTGAGGTAAATATAGCCAAGAACCAGTTTGGCTTTCAGCCAGGATGGTTAGTCTGTGCTTTGAGATGAGTCCTCGAAACATACGGACTGCAGATATGACAGTGATGTAGTGTTCCGAGAGAAACTGAAGAAAGCCTTTGGTCGAAAACCATGACCGATAATTTGTTGGAACATGAAAAAAGAAGGTAGTGCCAGTGTATACGGCGCTCTGTTAATGTAAAAGAACGGAGTGGAAGCCAACTTAACCAACTGAATCACTGGAACTAGCTCGGAATATGCGGTATCGGACGTAAGAATTTAAGTATCTTGATCCGTCCTTTAAGACGGTGCAGAAATCGACAGCAAATTAAGAAATTGGTTGAGCGACGCGTGGTTCTTCGTGGGATAAGCAGATGCCCATTAAACTGAAGGAGAAGGCGTACACCGGCATTTCTGTGCGGAGCCGAATGTTCGGCCACCGTAAAGACATACGACCAACAGTTGACTGGACGGATCATCAAAAGAAAAACGCTTTTATTTCAGACACTGATATACAATGCATTACGACCTATTAGTAAAAGAAGTAAATGATGTTATAATTAGTGGCAAAGCGTCTTTCTCTTACAGTCAGTTATGAGGATTCTCATTTCTTCGTGACCATCGTCTCCTTATTCTACCACTTTTCAGATTCTGTCAAAGCTCCATATTTTTCGTAACTAATGCGGTCGCAAGATTCGATCGTGTTTTGTCCTAGTATAAGCTCCTTTCTTTGGTCCTTACTCACTTTACAACATAAATTAATGAATTTGGATGTACAAGAGCTAAGACGTGCCCAAAAATAAAGTAATTGAAGGAAGCGCTGGATAGGCAGTGTGTTCTGTGTCCAGAGTCAAATGTTTATTGGAGTTTTCTATTTTTGCTGCTTAAAGCACATAAGATGGTTCCTGTGAGTAATGAGCGATATGGTGGACATCATTGCACAGCACATGCTATTGGTTTCACTTGCCAAGTTACCTTTAGGCTTATTGGAGAAGGGTTGCTATCATATATCTGCGCCGTTAACTCATTGGTAGGATTATTTCTTCGGTCATTCTGCTAACCTGCTCTTGCTGCACTGATGCGTTTCCACTTCTGTGTTATTTCTATTTTACCGTATACATCTTTTAGAGCGGACTAGCTAACTGTTAGTAGGAAGAGGATATTGAACGGCAGCCTTTAACAGTTAGAATCGAATAGAAAAAGTAGCTTTACTCGATTGTCGACAGTAAAGTGATGGTGAAACAGTGACAGAGAGTCGTTGGCCGACCTTCTTGCTTTTCAGACGTTTCCTGGCCACAGTGGCACAACGTTTATTCCCTTCGTCTTTTCACCTTTTGTGTCCATCCGTCATCGCTTTCAACATCATTGCGGCGTTTTTCGGCCAAATGCTGAAGAATGTCCGCAAATCGTTGCCGTGCATCCAGTTTCGGGTCGGCACTGTCGCTCGCAGCGGCGGCCACGGCGGCATCTTTAGTGTATGGCTTTTTGTCGCAGGAGCTTAAATGATGATGAGCGCTCGCCGTAAAAACTTCCCAACCAGCCTGAAAAACACTGGCCTCTTCGTTTGTGGATGAGCCTCGTGCGATCTTCGTGACCAGCGGGATGATGACTGCCAAGCAGCTCGTACTTTACACTTTTCCGTTTCACACGTTTATCACATATGTACTTAGAAACACGTATACTTAAATAATATTGATTGTTTGTGTACTACGCATGCAGTTATGTCTGTAAAGCTGTGGTACAAATCCTATATCCGAAAGTTAAATGAGCATATGCCCGAGTCTCACCACTGTACTCAAGAGCAGAATAAGAAGTTACTCAAGGAGGTACTCAAGGAGTACTCAAGTGGCACCAATTACTCTGAACCCTTCATTCTCGAGCAGTTCCAAAGAATCGATCGTTAAATTGCACAAAATTATTTTAAACCTGGTATGCCATCCCTCAGACAACTTTGTAGCAATCTTCTGTTGGTCATTTCATACGAAAAGAACACTGGTGAAAAAAACGCAACGTTAATTCCATATGCCGTTGTTCGCATATGTCGGCCTTCTGTCATGAAGATGTATCCTACACTACAAGAGACCCATAGGGTGGTGTATCGCCTCACCTGCATTTGTGGCGACGCAGCTAAGCACCCCGTTATGCGAACATCACGACCTGCATGAGTTACTCGGATGAGAAACGTAAAGCACGAAGAAACGTGGCGTCCAGTGGGACTTCAGCATAATAATTCATAACGAAACCGAATGACGACGAAGATTATGAAAGCTGTTGTAGCGGAACACAGTAGATTACGATAAGATACATATACGATCAGCTGAACGTCGCTGTCGTTCCTGCTCCAGTAATATCCTATGTAGAACTATCTTGTCTTATTTTTTTCTTTAATTAAAACTAAGTATGCAGCCTTTGTACAGCCATTGAATTCGGGCAACTCTTTTTTCCAATGCGGCTCATCATTTAGGAGGTAAATATCACCAAATGTGGTCTACCATACAAGTGGTTTAT